CTTCCGCCGCCGTGTGCCCCGAGGGGGAAGAAAATATGCCGTCGTTATATCCTGGTAGGGAAGCGGTACGGTACGGGAGCGAGAGGACCTCCGGGACGAGCCTCGAGCGCGCCGCGAATTAAAGTAGAAACCGAACACCTCGTTTGGGAAGGAGTAACCCCGCCAAACCGTAGGAGGCGGAGAGGGGCGCGGGCGTCCCGGAGGGCTGCCTCAATCGGGAAATATCGACAGGCTGGCGGAGTTCGGACCACCGCTATTATAGAGTCCACTAAAAGGCGCTCAAATAGCACTTAGTGCGAAGGGGTTCAAAGTGATCCGAGAATCAACATACTATATCATATGTACACACCGTCTTGGGATGGGAATCATCGAAAAGATAAGAACAACTCACGCTGTGACGCGCCCGGAATACATACCTGCTGCACCGTGCTGCACTGACCGGAGTCGAGGACATGGTAGATGTATTCCGGGCGCGTCACAGCGTGAGATATTGCGGAGCCTGTTACGCGACACGTGGTCAGGCGCACATCTGTCTTGCGTTGTTTTTTTGATGATTCCCATCCCAAGACGCTCTACGAGGTGATACTATGTGGGATAGTTCTTAATCCGTTTGCAAGTTATTTTATTACTACGATTTCGCATGCAAGCTTGTAAATGTTTTTGCTTGTTGACGTCCAATATACCCCCTTTTGCGTTTCAGCTCTTCACTCACAACGGCACAACCAAGTGTTTGCTGCTGTAGAATTGTTAAAATTGAAAAGATACAGTAATAGTTGTGGTTTCGGCACCTTAAAAAACATTTGGTTGATTCTTCAATGTTTTTTCTCGTAATAAAAAAAATGAACACACATTCCTATCGGTCCTGTGCGTCTTGGTTTCTTTCTTTTTTTTTTTCAATTTATTTTGTTCTAGCCAGTAAATGCGACATGATATATCTGTTGCAGGGGAGCTGCCGGCGGCCGTTCACGACGGCAACTCGGGGGTCACCTCGAGCCGGGTGGCGACGTGGCTGCTCGCGCTACTGCAGTGCAGCCAACTGCTTGCGAGCGGCCGGTGACAGTTGGCCAGCATGCTCACATCGTAAGGAGCTGCCGTACTCGGGTAAGTAAAGTTGACGACACTTTGCGCGCGTGCTGGCTCGTTGTAAAGAAAAAGGAGCTGGGGCGAAGAAAATTGTCGCGGAATACTAAGGGGGAATGGGGGGAAAATAGAGTTACGGGTTTGGGTTAGTGCGTTGGCGCGCTGTGCTGGCGCTGCTGCTGTGCGACCGAACGGATTGCAACTCATGAAACCGAGGCTCGCCGATCTGATAAAATATCTTAGAGCATCTATTGTGCGCCGAACTTGGGCTGAACTGTGATTTGTGTTTCCTGAATCTCTCCCAGAGCACTACCCGTCTCCTCCTCCTTCCCCCCTAAACCCCCTCCCTTCCCCCTTTCCTTGAATCTCTGCGAAGCGAGCCTTCATAAAGCTGGGCGCATTGAGGGAGGGAAGAGGGGCTCAAAGGAGAGAAAAGGGGCCCCGATCGGGCATGCGCTCATAAAGTAGGAGGGGAGGGGGGGTTCGCACACCCCTGTGCATCACTCACTTTCAGTGTAATTTGCAATCTTACCATCTCAAACAAAAAAAATAATGGTTGTTATATACTCCCTCTTTAATATAAATAACACATCATGGAAACAAATTTCCTTTTTACGACGTAAGCTGATTAGAGGTATCTTCCGGAAGGGCCTCATTTTGTGTATACCTTGCCAATAACATAACGCAAGCACTTCACGGTAAAAACAATGTCTTTTTTTTTTTTTTTTGAGGAAGGGAAAACTTTTAGGACCTCCCACATTTGAGGAAAGCTCCTCGGATCTCACCTCATATTCTGAGAAAGCTCCTCAAATATTGTCACCTCCAAATCTGAGAAGCTTTCCGCAAACCAAGGGATTTCCTCATGTTTTCCCTTTTCCCCCAAAAAATGAGACACATTGTGTTTACCGTGTTTGGTGTGCCCTCAGCCTGTGGCCTTGACGTCAGATCCTTCGATCCTGTTCCGTTACTTCACGCGATATGGTGTCTCTTTCGTTGAGCAGAGCTCTGGTGGAGACGATAGTGTATCTACGTCCATATTTCGCGATATCGCTGCTTCGGGAGTTCGAGGCGGGCGCTGGCGCGAGTGAGTGCCGAGGCCGGGAGTCGGCTCGCGCGCTTTTAATCTGCCCTGATTTCATTGAGGAGAGTAGTGTGGCTGGCGGCGCGGTGTGGTGAGGAGGAGGACATGAATCTTGCGGTGACAGCATGTAAATCACCCCTTACGGCCCCGCGCTGATCTGACGACGACGACTAGGTGCTGCGCGGTGTCGGCCTCCCCCTATCATCTCCCTCCCTGCTCCTCTCTCCCCATCACGGCGCAGCTCGGGGAGGCGCTGCAAAACCTTTAGCACTAACAGCTGCACCAGCAGCACGGCGGGCGCAGGCCTGCCTTCTCCACTCGACTACTCGGCCTTTGTAACGGAGGGCGTCATGTTAAACCCGACGCAAAACACCACACGCAGGAGTTTCTTCTCTGAGGAGCTGGAGCTGTCCCCCC